CTTTAAAAGGCATCAAGAACGGCAGCAGCCGAAGGGCTGCTGCTGCTGTCTGTGTTGCAGCAGCAGCAGCTGCTGCTGCTGCTCTCTTCACTCTCCCTTCTGCAGCTAATGCAGCAGCAGAAGGAGCATCGAGTGCTGCAGGAAAGGCAGCAGCAGCAGCTGCAGCAGCAGCAGACGGGGCACCAGCAGCAGCAGAAGCAGCAGCAGGAAAGTGACTGCGCTTGATTATCAGTCGCGTTCTGCTGCTGCTAGTGGGTGCCGTCCCTGTTGCTGCTGCTGCTGCTGCTAATGCTGCTGCTGGTGAATCCGTCCGTGGAGTTGAAGCTGCTGCTGCTGCTGCTGCTGCGTCATCTGCTGCAGCTGCAGCAAAGTATGCAGCAGCAGCGGCACTAAGCGGGCTGCTGCTATCTCTCCCGTTTCTGCTGCTGCTGCTGCTGCTGCGGTGGTGGCGGCCTCCAGGCGTCCTGTCTGCTGCTGATGCTGCTGCTGCTCCTGCTGGTGTCTCTCCAGGACTGCAGGCCACACTATGGCCGCAGAAAGCTGCAGCAGCACTACTTGCTGCTGTTGCTGCTGCTGCTGCTGGACTTGAGTCTGCCCTGGTAGAAGGCTCTGTGAGCAGCACCACGCTGTTGCTGCTGCTGCAGCGTTTGCTGCTGCTGCTGCCGTGCATGCGCCAGCAGCTGGAGTCCCAGGGTCTGCTGCTGCTGCTGTTGCTGCTGCTGCTGCTGTTGCTGTTGGTGCTGCGGCTACTGCTGCTGCTGGGGGCCCACCCGTGAAGCTGCTGCTGCTGCTGCTGCAGCATATGCTGCTTAACTCCCAGTGCGTGCGACTCTTCGTAGCAGTACACTCCAGGACTCTGCTGCTGCTGCTGCTGCTGCTGCTGCTGTAGGTATGAGGCGGTGCCGGGGTGCTGGTGCCATGCCCAGCCTAGCTGCTGCTGCTGCTCCCGCTGTTGCTGCTGCTGGTGTTGCTGCTGCTGCTGCTCATTGAAGGCGTCCCTCTTACGCAGAAGCATGCGGTGCTGCTGCTGCTGCTGCCGCTGCAGCAGCAGCTGCTGCCTTTCCAGCAGCTTTTGCTGACGCTCTGCGAGCTGCTCCAGCAAGATGGAATCTGACCGTGCTGCTGCCGCTGCTGCTGCTGCTGCTTCTGCTGCTGTTGCTGCTGCTGCAGCCATCCCTGCACTCCTCCTCCTCCGGCTGTCAGCTGCTGCGTAGTCATCTGCTGCTGCAGCACGCGCTGCTGCTGCTGCTGCTGCCCCTACCGTCACAGGGCTGCAAGAGTGGCGCGTTCGACGCTGCTGCTGCTGCTGCTGCTCGGAAGGGCATGGCAGCAGCTTTTCTGCTGCCGCCCTTCTTGCTGCAGCAGCAGCGAGGAGCTGTTCCGCATCTTTTGCTGCTGCTGCTAGCTGCTTGGTGAAGCTGCTGCGCGGAGGTCGAGAGGTTCGTGCTGCAGCAGCGCCGCTTGCTGCGGCTGCTGCTACAGCTGGTGGCAGTGCTGCTGCTGCTACTGCTGCTGCTGCTGGTACTGCTGCTGCTGCTTCTGTTAGTGCTGCTGCTTCTGCTGCCGCTGCTGCTGCTGCAAGACCCAGAGTGGCACAGTCACCCCTGCGGTCATGCCGCTGCAGCGGCAGTTGCTGCATCACCGTTGCTGCCGTTGCTGCTGCTGCTCCTGCTGCTGCTGGTGCTCAGCAACTGCTGCAGTAAGTGGCAGGGCTAGCTCCCCCGTGCTGCTGCTGCTGCTGCTGCTGCTGGCTTTTTGCGGGTGCGGCTGCTGCTGCCGCTGTCACACTCGGTGCAGCAGCAGCTGCTGCTGTTGCTGATGATGCTGCTGCTGCTGCTGCTTCGCGGAATGCGGCAGCTGCAGCAAAAGGCAAGGCAGCAGCAGCAGCGCCTTACTGCTGCCGACATGGGGGGCTCGCCTTGTAGCCTCTGTTGCTGCTGCTGCTGCTGCTGCAAAGCATTAACTCCAGCAGCAGAACATTACAAAAAATCATAAATTGTCTTATTTCATTTAGTGGGTGAGTCCGCCAGTATTGGCTTTAGTAACAGCTGCAGCAACAAGCCGCTGCTGCGGTTGCTGCTTCTGCTGCTGCTGCTGCTGCTGCCTGCAACTGCATGCAGCAGCAGCAACTTGTGCAGCCTAGTCCCCTGAAATCTCTCCAGATATCTTTTAATATTCTTTTTCTTAACTTTCCAGATTGGCTGGGGCCTACGTGCTGCTGCAAACAGCAGCAGCTACGGCGACGACAGCAGCAGCAGTAAGAACAGCAGCAGCAGCACAAGCAACAGCAGGAACCCAGCAGCTGCAGCAAATGTACTGCAGCACCCGCTGCCTCTACCTGGGAAGGCATTAGTCCAGAACAACGCAGCAGTAGAGCTGAAGACAGCCCTTGCTGCTGCTGCTGCTGCTGCTGCTGCGGGCGACACGACTGTGGGCAACACAGCAGCAGCATCTCAGCAGCCTCTGCACTGTCGAGAGCAGCAGCTGCAGCAGCAAGAGCATTCCCATCGTCAGCACCAGCAGCGGCAGCCACAGCAGCAGCCGCAGCAGCAGCAGCAACAGCAGCTAAAATGGCTTCGCGTCCTCTTTGTAGCCAGCCGGCTTCTTCCTTCGATGGCTGCCTGTTGCTTCAGGCCCTCAACGTCAGTCCGGCTGCTGCTGCTGCTGCTGCTGCCTCAGTGCTGCACTCTCGCTGCTACTGCTGCTGCTGCTGCTGTTGTCTCAGTGTTGCGCTCTTGTCGCTGCTGCTAGTGCTGCTGCATTAGTGCTGCGCTTTCGCTGCTGTAGCGGCAGCAGCTGCTGCAATGCTGCAGCTGCTGCTGCAATGCTGCTGCAGCTGCTGCTGCTGCTGCTTGCTGTGGGTGTGTTTGCTTAGGAAGCTCTGGGGAGACTCAGTGCTGCTGCTTTCGTGAGGAGAGAAACCGCGCAGAAGATCCTTACCATAGCCAAGCAGGTCCTTTTGCTGCTGCTGCTGCTGTTGCTGCTGCTGCTGTTGCTGCTGTTGCTGCTGCTGCTGATACCACTGCTGTTTTATATGTTGCCACAGCTTCCGCGGCTTCTGCTGCTGCAGCTGGTACTACTGCTCTTTCTTGTATTGCTGCTGCTGCTGTTGCATTTTCCCGCTGCTGTTGCTGCTGCATTTTTCCGCTGCTGTTGCTGCTGCATTTTTTTGCTGTTGCTGCTGCTGCCGCTGCCGTTTTTGCTGCCAGTTCAGACGGGTGCTGCATCTCTTTCACGGGGCGTTTCCGCGCCTTATAAGGTCTAGGGTTTAGAGTTTAGAGTTTAGGGTTTAGGGTTTAGGGTTTGTGTGTGCTCAGGAGCTGCTGCGGCTGGTGCTGCAGCGCAGCAGCAGTTTGCCGTCGCTGGTGATTGTGTCTCACCTTGAGGTGTACAGACACTGCAACATCGGAGCAGCAGCAGCAGCAGCAGAATGGTCGGATAACACTTGGCTGTTCGTGCTGCGGGATCCTCTTATTGGGGTGCTGCCCAGCAGCAGCGGCAGCAGCAGCAGCAGCGGAGCCGCAACAGCGCAGAGAAGCAGAAGCATGCAGCTGCAGGCCGAGCAGCTGTTGCAGGAGCTGAAGCGGCAGCAGCTGCAGCACGAGCAGGGGCAGCAGCAGCAGCTGCTGCTGGATGCAGAAGATGAGCCTCCTGGTAATGCTGCTGCTTCTGCTGCTGCCTCTGCTGCTGCTGCTGTCCTGCTGCTGCTGCTGTCCTGCCTGTATTGCTCAGTCGTTTCTCAACCGTGCTGCTGCTGCTGCTGCTGCTGC